TTTTATTTTATATTATTTTATTTTATTTTATTTTATTTTATTTTATTTAATTTTTTAAAAAAATAATGTGAAACGTTATAAAAAAATTTTGAACAAAACAATTTTTTTTGTTATTAAAATTCAATGCCACCCCTTAGCGACTCGCAAATTGCACTTTATTACACTCAAATTTAATGATCAAAACGGTTTTTTTTTTAATTTTGGTGAATTTTTTTTTTAAAACATTTAAAATTTATTTTGTGAATCTTTTTTCGTTTCGGGAGCACCCTACAATTTTTTTTAATTCTTTTTTATTATGTAAATTTTATTAACTGGAACAGGAGAATCGATTTTCTTCAAAATTGCCACTTTTTCGGCACTTTGCACTAAACAATTCATTACAAATAAAAAAGTTCGAGAATCGAGCTCAATCGGTCTCTTGCAAATTTTATAAGCTTTCATCAAGAATAAAAATTAATCAAATTGAGTGGAAAATGAAGGCTCCAGTGAATTGAGAACACCAAATTTCAGTTTTGAACCACTGTGCAGCGGACGCTACATATCGCCGGTGATACTGTAAAACGTTCTAAGTCGCTTNTTAATTGATCTGTTATCTGTATCTGATCGCTTCTGGCAATCGTTCATCTTCATCAGCCAAAAGTAGACGGCTTTGCCATTCATTTATTAGGGTGTAACGATTTGCAAATGCATTCCGGTTCAAGTAAGAGACCATCTAAGTGTCAAGGGTAGTAATAGACAAATGTAGATCGTTTCGCATGTGGCATAAATTAGATTGCCTTTGCGTAAAAAAAATTTTTTTTTTTGATTTTTTCTATATTTCTCAAAAATAACACCAAAACACAGAAGTGCCCTCATTAACGTTTTTCTTAAATATTTTTGTTTTAAATACTTTTTTTAGTGTACATTTTTATGATATGAATGATAAGAACTAGTACGTACGAAATTCTATACTTAATTTTGTTTGTGCGAATGAATTATAATTTTGGCTAAGATTTGTGTGAATATCATAATTGTGACCATTCATTGCTGTCAAAGTTATAAATATTGATGACTTTGTTAATGAGAAAGAGATCAGCAAATACTTAACCCCACTTTTCTCGCCATACAATTTTTGAAATTTCTTTATGCTTCTAAATTAAACATGTGTTTTTAAAAAGGGGGAATCTATTTAATACATAGAGCGGCACCATTTACGAATTACGGCATGGCCATCATACTAGTTAAGACAAATTTAGTATGAATTTATGTTTGGGAAACTCGTTTGTGGGTTCAATGTACGCTAAATGAATTTGCCACAAGTACAAACTAGAAAATATAATAATTATCAGAAAAGAAGGAAAAAAAAAGTCAAACTCATTAAGCGCCGTTGCTTGCGACGAAATACTCCCCGTTCCAAATCGCACCGATAAGCGTTGCAAGCAATGTTCCACACTCAATCGTTAGTGGAGTAATATAAAACAAAAACAAAAAAAGAATCGAAAACACTGCAGAATGTCGATCATAATTCATTAATAGTTTGCGGCGAATAGGCGCACTAATCTACCAACGAGACCTGCAAATTCAACAACGATCTAGCAGTCCAATGCGTTGCTTGCTTCGCTTTCGTTTGCTGCGCATGCGCTTTTGATGATTAAGCTGCGCGCGCGTACGACAATCTAAAATTGTTGGCAATTTATGCAAAAATCACGTTTGAATTCGATTAAGATGCAGCGAATGAGTGTAGTGGAAATAAAGGAAATTCGTTGCAAGCAAAATAATTTGCAGCGAAAGTAAATACATAAAGCCATCTTATGACTACATACATTCGTTCTTATGCTCGCTTTCAGCATCCATGGGGCATGCAAAAAGATTGTCGCCTGTGTTGTTGTTTTATTTTTTTTTTATTTTAGTATATCGCTGCATGTTAAACACAAAATTTGCATTCGACTTGTCGCAGTGGGTTGCAATATTGATCGATAGTTTGTTGCATTCGACGCGACCTCAGCACGCTTTATGTGCCCCACCAATAGCATCAGCATCAGCATCAGCATCAGCCTCTGCAAAAGCACCAACACTCTTTTTTTTCTGACCATTTAGTTCGATAGTGTCGTTCGATTCATTTGCTATTCTAAGTGGTTCATTTGTTTTGCTGCTAGAATAGTTTCTTTATTTCCTATGTATATCTAAGGATGTGTTTGTTCCTTAATGTGTTTTCATGTTGCACCAAATTGTTGCAATAAATTTAATAATCACTTTATGCCATTTGTTCTTAACAGTTTATTCTTTGCTTACTCAATTCATTCCTTTTCTTTTATTGTAAAATCTTTTTACAGTCTCGCGACGCTCCTTCGGATGAGGAAATGCGTGATTGTGATTCGATCGATGGTGATCATCATCATGTAATTCGTGCAACACGTTTAAATGTCGCATCTTTGAAACGTAACCACAGTCACAGCAACAGCAACAACAACAACAAAAATACTAATAATAATAATAACAATAACAATATTGGCGGTGGTGATATGAGTTTTGGTGGCAACGCCGGCAGTGCAAGTATCGGTGTTGGCAGTGGTATGGGTGTGCGTAGTCCCGATCGTCACGCTGATCTTCAAATGAGGTAAATTAGTTATTAGCTCGATACTGGTGGTGCTTGAAGAGTGCAGTTTGGCACTACATATTGGTGGACATATGACATTGAATTTTTGTTCTTTTTTTTTATTATGTGCCTTTGCAGTCATCATCATCAGTTTCCTTCGAATCATCCGCTAAATGCGCTCGGTAATTTCATGGGCATTGGCGGTCTACATGGCATTCCAAATCTACAACACAATGATGTGTTAGAGAAGCTAAAGATGCAAGTTCGTGATATGAAAGTGGGTCTAATGGTAAGTGTTCGAGTAAACTAAGCAAGCAACAAACGACTGAGGGTTTTAACTTAATCATTTTGAGTGTACCGTGTACGAGAGCCTAAACCTTTTGTAGCTGTAAAAATTTAATCTTTCGTTTCCTGTTTCATCACTTACTTAGAAGGGTCGGAAAATCTGCGGGACGCGAAATTCGTACATAAACTTCAGTAATTTTGGATTTTCTCATCCAATTTCGTCGCTATTCCAATGCAGGAATGTTTCTGGTGTGCTCTCGTTGTTTTTCACTTTGACCAGAGAATAAACTATGTTTACACAAAGCAAATTTTGTCAACGCGACTCAGTTGATTTTTTGTCAGTTCGGGGAGTACAAAGCGAGTTGCTCGAGCACCGTCGCAGAGTGGTTCAAAAATTGCATTTTGTGTTCACAATCCAAATGAAGTTTCCAGTTTTCACTCAATTTGATTATTATTTTTAAAATAAAAGCTGATAAAATTTGTAAGATACCAGTTCAGACCAATTTATTTATTGTGGTTTGTTTGTATTAAATATTTTAGTGCAAAATGCAGAAAAAGTAGCAAATTTTGAATAGAATTGATTCTTCTGTTCCAGTTAATAAATGTTACATAATAAAAACTAGGTGAAAACAATTATAGGAATCTCCCAAAACAGATTTTAATTTTAATTTTAAATGTCATAAAAATTTTCACCAAGATTAAATTTTAGAAGTGAAACTTCTTAATCGAGTTCGGAGATGGTTGCGTTAAATATTTAATATCGAATTTTTGCTAGCCGAATCTGATGAACTGACNAGTGGTTCAAAAATTGCATTTTGTGTTCACAATCCAAATGAAGTTTCCAGTTTTCACTCAATTTGATTATTATTTTTAAAATAAAAGCTGATAAAATTTGTAAGATACCAGTTCAGACCAATTTATTTATTGTGGTTTGTTTGTATTAAATATTTTAGTGCAAAATGCAGAAAAAGTAGCAAATTTTGAATAGAATTGATTCTTCTGTTCCAGTTAATAAATGTTACATAATAAAAACTAGGTGAAAACAATTATAGGAATCTCCCAAAACAGATTTTAATTTTAATTTTAAATGTCATAAAAATTTTCACCAAGATTAAATTTTAGAAGTGAAACTTCTTAATCGAGTTCGGAGATGGTTGCGTTAAATATTTAATATCGAATTTTTGCTAGCCGAATCTGATGAACTGACAAAATTTTCACTGGAAATGGTTAATGGTAGAAATGATCCAACAACCAAAGCAGCGACTAACATTGATGCTGTTTTTTCCAGAAATATTAATAATATTTAAATAAAACATTTTATATCTTACTTTAGTTACCACAATCTACTAGTTAATATTGTAGATATGCATGTTTTCTCAGCCGCAAACTATTTATTTATTTATATTATATAACTTTGTGGTTGGTTATAAAAAAATAAAAAATTAAAGGTCTTTAAAAAAAAAATTTTATAAATACATAAGATTTTTGTATATCAGAAAATATGTACAGTTGTATGTATATCGCACATTTCTATCTTTCTGGAATTTTCTGTATTAAGTTTCACCTCTTCCGCGCGTAGGGACTACACGCACTGAGTGTTTTGGTGTTAATAAAAAATCTAATTCAGAGAAAAACGAAAGCTCCAGTGAATTCTGAACACAAAATGCTAGTTTTGCACCACTTTGCATCGCTTTTGAGATTGAGAATTCAGGAAAAATAGTTTCTTTTGAATAAACAATTACCTTCACCTTGTGAATGACCTTCAAAAATATAAAGAAAATTACCTTGTCATTAAAGCCGGTCCACATTATGCCGAGTGGAACAAGGTAGGTGGATAAGTTTCATTCCCGAAATTCAAGAAAAGAAAAAGAAACTTACCAAAATTTTTGTATATTTATCGGATACTTGTTAAGGAATGAATATACTGACTTCTTTTTAACTTCATTTTTCTCCGGGTATAACTTTTTCTAACCTTTTTTCAAAACCAAGTTAGTCTCGCTTTTGATCATATGGTCACACTGGAAATAAACCCCGCTATGTGACACTGCTGAATATCTATCGAGGTAAAATTTTCTGAGTCTAGACTCTAGAGCCCTAATTCATATTTGGTTGTCTGAAAAGAGACGATACATGCGGTAGGGCTGGGACTATCCGTATGTTCAGATATCCGTTTATTTAGTTAACCGGATATACGAATATTCGAAACAGTATTTTAGAGGATCGTAAAACTATTCTCAAAACTACTGAATCTATCGACCTCCGAAATAAACGATAGAACACTTTATTACTTAATCCAAAGCAATTGTTATTTTTTTGTTTTTTTAGGTTCGAATATGAGGAGATCTATACACTATTAGGATATCCGGATAAGCGAATTTTTATTCAGCTATTGTAATATCCGAACTGTCCGGATAGTTAACAAATCCGGATAGAACACCCAACCCTAATTCCAAGCCAAGAACGACCTTTGGTTATGTTAGGTTAAGAGGGCGTGAATGGTTAGTCGTAATTCTTTCACTCGTAGGCATAGTTGCTCATTGTGCGCACCATCTGTGAGTGCTAGACGGGAGACACAGCACTCTACTCGGGTTCAACGAAACAGTGAACATAATATCCCGAATTAACCTAAGGAGGTTACTGAAGCTTTGAATGGCGACACAGAAAGTGGTTAATGAATTATTTCTTGCCTTTGCCGAGAGTAGGTAGACTTCTTTTGGCCGGCGTTGCATAAAATAGTCCACATAGTGAAAATCGTGGCAGTTATTTGGCCCTAAACCGTCTTAAGCCGCGCTCTTTTTATTCCACTCGGTATTGGACCTAACCAATTTTGCAAATAGCAGAGTCTTAATATGAAAAACACTCAATCAATTCGGAACTATTTAGTCTCACGATGTGGTGATCCAACGAACAGAGTCATACTNGGTGGCGTTGGTGGAGGTGGTGGTGGTGGCAGTGGCAGCGGCAATGGTGGCTTCTCATTCACCTCACCAACGGCACCGAGCTCAAAAGACGGTAAGATTTATAATGTTAAACTAATTTCTAATAATTTGTTTAGCGAATTTATCCATTTCAGAAAATAATAATTATGATTTGATATTTTTGTGTGTTTAAAAAAGTGAATTAAATTTTCCTGCTAAAAAAAAATATTTTTGTCTTCTTTTCATAGTTAATCCCGCATCGAATTCTTCCACATCCAGCGAAGCGTCCAATTCATCTCAACAGAACAATGGCTGGAGCTTCGAGGAACAATACAAACAAGTGAGACAGGTGAGTTAAAATTTTGATAATTTTATTTTGTCGCATAAAAGAGTTAATATGTACCTTGCCGACAAGTTTTTGGATTGTACAACAAAAATCGTTGGAGCTTTGGTGTATTAGCACGGCATTCTCTGATGAGGGCCGCGCATTATTATATTTTGATAAAAACGCACAAAAATCAAATATCTCGATGACACGAAGAGATGGA